GGTGTTCATATGATATCTTACTTCATTAAATAATACAAAAATTAACTCTTTTAAGTTCAACTTTGCATTCTATTTAGATTTGGTAGGTACAAGTCTTGGAGCAACCACAACATCAAGAGCAATAGATTGTAAAAAGAAGCAAGTCTAAATATTTTATCACTTGATAATAATATATTTATTAACTTACTATTGCAGCAAGAAATTACAATTGAGATTGATTCTGACTTAGAAACTGAATGCTTAATGACAAAATTATTGCAGCAGCTCAAGAAGCACCTGAAGAAGAAGAAAATACGGGCCTACCAATATCTAATAAAATTGCTTTAGAAAGCATTCAATATATATATAATTACTTGCAACAGAATAGTGATATACAGTCAAGCCAGGTGAACAGAAAATTTTATTTAAAATCTGTTGTGGTAAGATTACTAATCTTGTCATAATGGATTTTTATATGTTTTTATATTTATATTGATATGTGAAGCAAAAATTTTAAAACCATTATGACAAGAATTTAACTATTGTCCACTGTGGCAAGTCTGCTGTGATGAGGTTTGACTGTACAAGTAAATAATCAGGATTAAAAGATTTAAAATGAAAAATAGATAGAAAAAAATTAATTCTTTAACACAAACTAGTGTGAATATTTATTTAGATAAAGAATAGTGGTTTTTTTTGTAAAGTTGCATATTTCAATAAGTTGGATTTCTTGATAAGTAAGGCTACCATGCCCAGCCATTCATGTCCAACTCATTGAGTTTATCTATGTACTAAGGAGTTGATCACAGCCAGAAATATTATTATCAGGAATGGAATTTTTTAGCTTTAATAACATCTAAAAATTTTGACAAAATGTGATTTTTTTAATATAATGAACGTGCATTTTTCTATTTAAGTAAGATGCAAGTCTTAAAGAAATATAATTAAAACAATTTACTTATAATTTTGGTGACTTGGCCGAGTTGGTCTAAGGCGCCGCACTCAAGTTGCGGTCTCGAAAGAGGCGTGAGTTCGAATCTCACAGTCACCATCATTTCATAAGTATTTTTTTTTGTAACAATTTTTTTTTGTTATAAAAGAAATTGAATATGGTTTTAGCAGATCTTGGTCGACGAATTAATGCTGCTATAGCAAAAATTAATAAAGAACCTATCATTGATGCTAAAGTATTTAGCCTTTTTTATTTTATTTTTTACATTTAAATAAATTTATAAATAAAATTCATAAATATTAAAGATTCTGTTCACTGAAAGGTTCTTGATGCATTGTTAAAAGAAATATGTCATGCACTTTTAGAAGCCGATATAAACATTCGTTTGGTAGGTAATTTAAGGAATAATGTTAAAGACAATGTCAACATTCAAGAAGTACCTGCTGGAATAAATAAAAGGAAATTAATACAAAAGGTAAAGTATTTTTTTTCCTCTTAATTTTTCGATTCATTTTATCTAATTATAATTTTTGTTAGGCAGTGATTGATGAACTCTGTAAACTAGTTGATCCAGGTGTAGAACCATATAAACCTAAAAAAGGAACTACAAATATAATTATGTTTGTTGGTTTACAAGGAAGTGGTAAAACCACAACATGTACAAAAGTATGTAGAAATCATCTGACTCATATATAATAAATAGTCAACTAAATGTTTATTTATTTTAACTAAATATTATAAATTGATTAAATTCAACAATAAGTTGGCATATTATTATCAGCGTAAAGGATGGAAAGTATGTTTAGTTTGTGCTGACACTTTTCGTGCTGGTGCATTTGATCAATTAAAACAAAATGCTACTAAGGCAAAGATACCATATTACGGAAGGCAAAATCTTATTCCATTTTTAATATTTATTATTGGTCTTTTTCCAAAACATTTTTTAATATAATTACAAAATCATTATCATATAATAGTTATACTGAAACAGACCCTGTCCAAATTGCTCATGAGGGTGTCGAAAAATTTAAAAAAGAAGGTTTTGAAATAATTATAGTAGATACATCTGGTAGACATAAACAGGAGGCTGAATTATTTGAGGAAATGAGACAAATATCTGTTGTTGTGGTAACTAATATTTTTATTACATTATATTGTAATATAATTAATTTAAAATATTTATAATATATGTGCATGTATATTTATAGAACCCAAATAATACAATTTTTGTAATGGATGGAACAATCGGACAAGCCGCTGAAGCTCAAGCTAAAGCTTTCCACGAAACAGTAGATATTGGTTCAATTATTATTACAAAAATGGATGGCCATGCAAAAGGTGGTGGTGCTATATCTGCGTATGTGTATATTATTTTATATTGTATGCTGTTCACTTATGTACATGGATATATTACTTTTTAAATATTAAATTTAATTATTGATAATAGTGTTGCAGCTACTCATAGCCCAGTTATTTTCATTGGTACTGGTGAACATATTCACGATTTAGAAAGATTTTCTGCACGACCATTTATACAAAAAATGTTGGGTAATTACATAATATATATATATATATAAAATATAAAATATAATAATTAATATATGCATTATTTTGTTAGGTATGGGTGATATATCTGCTTTAGTTGAAACAGTTCAAGACTTGAAATTAGATCAAAATAAAAATTTAATTAAAAACTTAGAACAAGGTAAATTTTGAATTTAAATTGAAATAAAATAGTTTAGTAATTAACTATTAACTATTATTGTTTTAAAATTAGGTATATTTACAATTAGAGATATGTATGAACAATTTCAAAATATATCCAAGATGGGTCCTTTATCTAAAATGATGCAAATGGTGCCTGGTATGTCTGAAATGAATCTCGAAGGCTCTGATGAACTTGGGGCTCAAAGAATAAAAAGGTATCAGAAAAATTTTTTTTTATAACAAGAAAGGATATTTATGTCAAGAATACTTGGTCAGCTTGTTTACTAAATTCATAATTAATTAATAAATAATAAAAAGATTAATGACAATTATGGATAGTATGAGTGAAACGGAATTAGATTCTGATGGCAAAATATTTACACAACAACCTTCACGTATCATACGTATTGCAAAAGGCTCTGGTACCTCAGTAAGAGAAGTAGAGGAATTATTAGTTCAACATAAAGGTTTCCAAGGAATGGTTAAAAAATTTGGAGGAAACAAAGGTTTATTTAAAGGTGCTTTTTTATGTATAATCATTTAATCATTTATTATTCAAGTAAAATTATTTTTTTATTTCAAATTTTCCTTTTTTTAAAAAAGGAATGGGCCAAGGAATGGGCCCAGGAATGGATCCTTCAAAAATGTCACCACAACAAATTCAACAAAAAATGGCACAAATGCAAAGGGTAAGAAAATTTGTATTAAACAGATGTGCATTTTTCTTATCTAACTAATATTTATACATTTTTGATGTTTAAAGATGCTTCCACGTGGTATGGCTGGCATGAATATGAACAATTTAATGCGACAGATGGTAAATAATATTTATAATAATATTGTAATATGTTTAAATGATAAATATATTTATATTTATATTTATGTTTAGGGATTAAATTCTAAATTTGGATTATAACAAATATATTAGAAACTTTTATGTTTGTTTATAAAATATTTATTAATAAAATTCTGGGACTCTTCATATTATTTTACCATTATTAAAGGTTATATGATATAATATTTATATTTGTGCGATTAACCTGAAGTAGGGGTCGGAGAAGAATGTGATTTATAATGATTATTTTTGGTTTTTGTAAATGGACTTGTAATTTCATCTGAATTGTCTTTATTATTGTTGTTGATTCTGTTTTTGTTGTGAATACATACTCTTTTCTTTAAACTTAATTGTCTCAATAAACCATTGAATTTACTTTTATTATTATTATCATTCTTGTTGCCATCTTTTAACAAACGAATTCTTCTATTTTGTAATAAAATTGAACTGTGTCTTAATAATAGTATTGTTGATGTTAAAATTGTCTTCTTATGACATTATTGAAAGCAAGCGTCTCAATATAGATCTATGTCTATTTCTTTTTCTACTACCTAGCCTAAAACCTTACTACTAAAAATGTTAGTGTCGTTGCTGTTGTTATTATTGTTATAATTGGGTCATCAACTTCTTAATACAATGTTATAAATAGCAAATTGATTAAAAGTCCCTAGAATAGAATCAAAACCTTAAAGTAGCAAACTAAGATTATCATCATTACTATTACCACTTTCAATTAATATTTCTCTCAGTGATGTCCTTTGAATTTTTCTAGCTCCTCGGGCTCTAATTCAAGAATATTTATTTTAAACATACTGTCTAAAATCACTGGGGTTTTATCATTTTCTATTACATAACCTGTTTTTGCTGTTGCTTGCTCATCAGATCTATAAATTATATAAATTTTATAGAAATTAATCTTTGTTTTTTTAATGTTAAAATCAATATGCAAAATAAATATATCTAAAGTATTAATAGACTCAACAATGCTGGTACTACAGCATTAGGGTTGTGTTGGTCCGGACCGGTCTCGATCCCAAAAACTACATCCAAAGACTGGTCTTTTTTTGGAAAACCGAAGGACCGGTCTTTAGATGCAGTCTTTGGACAGACCATCCATAATTACTGGCATCATACTAAAATTCTTCCAGAAGAATTGATATTAACTCAACAATCCTCTCATAAAACATTAATGATCCAATGGTAGACCAGCCTTCTCAGGCAGTTAGTGCTCTTAATATTAAATAATCCGGAAGAAGAATTTTGTATTTGAAGTTCCTGATGAAGTAGTTGCAAAAATGTTTAAGCAGTATTTGCGAGCAATTATACTTACAATTAGAAATGAATGCTGATTATTATGCCAACAAATAATAAATGATAATAGATCTTGTCATAATTAACATGTCATACTAATATAAACATTAACCCGAGTTATAATTGTTACAGGTCCAATCTTTTATTTTATACACTTGCCTCCGCCGATCACATGCAATAAACAGATCGTCAATTAAAAAAACCAGATCTAAAAAAATGTTTTATATAATTGGATTGGGATTATCAGACGAAACTGATATCACCATTAAAGGTCTTGAAGCAATTAAATCATGTGAAAGGATATACTTAGAAGCATACACTAGTGTTTTAATGGTTTCAAAAGAAAAATTGGTATAATCAATATACATATTATCATACATATTATTATGCACATTTATCAAAATTTTTAAATTTTTAAATTTTCAATATAAAGGAAGAATTTTATGATAAGAAATTAATCCTTGCTGATAGGGAAATGGTAGAATCTCAAAGTGATAAAATTTTATCTAAAGCTGATAAAATAAATGTAGCATTTTTAGTTGTAGGAGATCCATTTGGGTAAGTGTTGACCACATTACAAGAATAATAAATCTATAAAATTAAATATTTGATTTCATATATATCAGTGCTACAACTCATACCGATTTAATTTTGCGTGCACGAGAGCTTAAGATTCCTGTTAAAATTATACATAATGCATCAATAATGAATGCAATTGGGGCATGTGGATTACAACTTTATAATTTTGGTCAAACAGTTTCAATCCCTTTTTTTACTGAATCTTGGCATCCTGATAGTTTTTATGAACGCATTAAAGAAAATCGATCTTTAGGATTACATACTTTATGTTTGTTAGGTAATAAATCAATCAATCAATAAAATATATATATAAGTATATTTTAATCAATAAATATTGAAATATTATTTTTAAAGATATTAAGGTGAAAGAACAAAGTGATGAAAATTTAGTAAGGTGAATCAATTTTAATTAATAGGAGAATTATTTATTATTATTATTATTATTATTATTATTATTATTATTATTATTATTATTATTATTATTATTATTATTATTATTTCATTTTATTCGAATTATATCTTTTATTCGTTTTATTCGTTTAAAAAATAAAAAATATCAATTCACAACTTGATGTAACAAATTCTATATTGCTGTTGTTGTTATTGTTAATGGATTGTAAAATTACAATAATTGTAATCTATATTACTACTGTTATGGATACCATTACTATTTAAATAAAATGGTCAATTATTTCTGCTACCTTATGTATTATTATACAAGGAAAATAGATTGATAAAATTTTTTTAATTGGATTGGATTAGCAATGTGAATATATTATTTAATAAACTTTCAATTTAATTCGAGTAAAACCTTATTCGAATAGAAATCATACTATTTAAGAAAATTTTTTTGGTCCGATATTTTTTGAAGATTTCCAATAAAATTTTCCCAAACCGGGGTATTCCCCGATATTTTTTGATCACACATTCCGCACCCTGGTGTATACCCAGCCAAGACTTTTTTTCATTAATAATTTGGAACCTAAGCAACAATGAAATAGAGTTTTTTTTTAATAATAAAAAAAGCCTTAGTGGTTTGAAGTTACTATCAAAAATGAGATCAAACAAATTTTCTTTATATTTTCAAATTTGGTTAGAACGCGTAGATCACACTCACTACCATTTATTTATATATCTTCTAGCTGTTGAAATTCAAAAAATTAAAAGAAAAAATGAAATGGAGACGAATCTCAACCCAACTTAAAATAATAATACTCTTTCTTGTAGTAATAATCATCGTAACATACAACATATCATATATCTCTTTTAAACTTAGATCAATAGGTTTGCAAAACTTTATTAGAAAAAGTATTAACGAAATAAATATTTTAACTGTTTTTATATATATTAATATATAGGTCGATTAGTGACAAAAGAGCAAATTTTTAGGTTTAGTTACAATCATGACCAAGCAGTATATAACCAAAAGAAACATCCCTTTACAATAGTAACGGCAGCAAGTTCCAATCATTTTTGTGAAGTACAAAGTTGGCTTTACTATATGAAAGGGACAGTTGACTCGATGCCAGCATCTAAACGACCCAGGATTTTAGTTTACGACATTGGATTGGTGAACTATCAGAAAAAATGGTCAAGAGTCTTACTTGAGAAGGGATATTTAAATGAATTCAGGGAATTTGATTTTGAAAAGTATCCGGGATTTTGGAAAATAGATAACGTGACTAGAGGAGAATATGCATGGAAGGCTGGTATAATATCCGAGGTTATTAAAGATTATCCTGGGCCAATATTTTGGCTCGACTCAGGAACTTATGTAAAGTCGGAATTTTTGAAACGATTTAATCTCATTTTGGATTATTACGATGGTTTCTTTTCACCTAGATCATCTGGTAAAATGTTAAAATGGACACATCCAGGCGTTTTCAAATATTTTAATGACGATCCAAAAAAATATTCAGATTTTGTAAATTGTAATGGGGCAGCAATAGCATTAGATTCGAATAGAGTAGAAAATTTAATAAATAATTGGGTAGAATGTGCTCTAGTAAAAGAATGTATTGCTCCAAAAGGCAGTAATAGAGAAAACCATCGACAAGATCAAGCAATATTAACATATTTTGTAGCAAGAGAGAAACGGCACTGTGTAAACAGATTGGGAGTTTTTGGATTGAGGACTCACATGGATAGAGAATGTGCGAAAAATATTTATTTCTATGAAAAATTAAATAACATTACCTGGTCTCCAACTAAAGAGGATTTGAAAGAGATTGAGGATTTGAAAGAGATATTCATTGATCATTATATATATGATATTTGGAATCCTGGAGCTGAAGAACAAACACTGGAAAGAATTCGTAATAATGAAACATTCTAAGCATTAAGAAGATTTATTAAAAAATATGTTTTTTATTTTATTGGGAAAATACACATGTACATTAATAAATATAATTCTAAATTAAACATATCAAATTATTAATGGCCAGTTTTTCTCTTTCTTGTTTTTTTTTTCTCATTATTAATCAGACTATTCTGATCAAGATGAAAGAAAGAATTAAATTTCCTGAAAAACCAATTTCTCGATGTAACGTTATTGGACCTTTCCTATGCATAGAGATCGGCACCACCTAAAAATTCTTTAATCAGTAAATACCCGATTATTATTATCTGCTGATTATCCACCAATTATCCGTATTCCATTAAAAATTGAGGTTGGCACCCGTTCCACCAATTTTAATGGTTAATTATCAATATTGGTGTTACAAGTTGGAATATTTACTTTTTCCTTTTGAGTGGGACTTATGACTAGAGTTTCTATTCGTAATATAATCCTTATTCGAATTATTCGTTTTATTCATTCATTTTATTCGTAATACAACTCAATCTTAACTCGAATTTATCCCATTTATTCGAATTATTCGTTTGATCCATTTTATTCGAATAAACATTCAGTGCAATTCGAATACTCAAATTCATAACGAATAAAAACAAAATTTTTATTCGAATAGAAACTCTACAATGACTATTTGCTAGCATAAAAAAATTTAAATTATTATTATTATTATCATTTCAAGGGAAAAGCCAATTACTACAACTATTATTATTAATTGACTAAATAAAAAACGTCAATTACTAGTATTATTACTATCACTACAAGGACTGACTACAAAGGGAAAAATAGAACTGACAGAAAAAATTATTAATTGGATAATGATAGTGCATATACTATAATCGTATTAGTATGATTAATTGCCGATTATCCACCATTGAATATTTTCAATGACTAAATAAATAATCAATGAATTTTTTTGGTGGATAAGGAGACCATTAATACTAATTAACGCAATATATTACTTTTTTCGAAATTATTTTAAAAGTCGGGAATTGATTTTGCACTTTGTAATATTAATATATATGTGTGTATGTGTATTATATATATTATTATTATTTAAGTGCGAAATAGATCACCAGCATCGCTCGATTAAACCAAATAATATTCACACTTTTCAAGTTGAAGCGAAAACTGAGGGTGGAGATTGGGGGTGGAGATATTTGGTTGGGTCCATCCGCTGCTTCCAAAAAAGCTGACTGTTGTAAAATTAGAAAACCCGGGAAGGGAAAATTAGTTTTAAGCCAAAACAATATCTTTAGTATAACTTATGGAACTATACGTTAAACAAACAAGACGGTAAATTGGGAGGTGATTGGATCGTAATAATAAATTATTATTATTAGCTAGTTTTTATTAGCATCACAAACAGACAAATGCCACAATTGTAATATTAGCCAATATTTCAAATAACCATACTAACGCCATTTTTTATTAGTTGATTTTTGGGAGAGCAATATAAACAATAGATTGCGATGATCGGGTATTTTTATTAACGAATATTTTTGGGCATGATTTGATTATCTTCAAGAAAACTTATTCTCAAAGTACATTGAATTCGAGTTGTTTATATACATGTTTTATAATTAGAGGTCTACTTTGACGATGTTATCGACTAAGTCTATTATTATTGTGCTTCAGTCGACTTTATCGACCCTAGTAATACGTAAGTAACCGGTATATTTCTAAGTAATGCACAAAATGATAACGCTATCGCGTAACAATATTAATATTAAGAATAGGGACGAGCAGATAAGTACTATACGTATCCCTTAAACGGTTAATCAGCTATTGATAGCCGATAAAATTTTTCTGATGTAAAAAATTTTTTCTGGGGGCATCACTTTCTAATATGAAAATGATCTTTGAGATTCAGCCGATTAATCTATAAATAAAAATCCGGTTGTTGTCCTTGTAGTTTTTGTAAAATCTTCTTTAAAAGTTAGTCGATTGACTGTTTTTGCTTTGCAGATCGTTAAATTGACCAACATATATATAGTAGATAAATTCCTGTTTAGGTTATTACCAAATGATGTTACACGTAAAAATTAAATACGGTATATATTTTAAACTTACCATGACTTGCCAAAGTGCAATTTTGGCAACATTTTAAACATATTGATAATGTTAATGTTATAAGTAATTACGTTTTGAATGTCTATATTGCAAAAATATCAATGTACTGGTTCAGTATTTATATGTGAAAACCATTTACGCCTTTGTCAAATGCTACAATTCAAACTAAAAGAAATTATTTTTGGAGAACATTTAGATGCTTCAAATACTAGTAAACAGATAAACTACCACGTAATTGAGAAATTTATGAAAATTCCATCGAAGAAGCTGATGAAATACATGAAAATTTTATTAAAGAATCAAATAAAAGTGAAAAAAGTTTTGATTTTTATGATATTTAATTCATTCAATATAATTAATAATTCATTCAGTATAATTAATAATTCATTAAATATATAAATCAAATCTTTAATACAAAAAGATAAAAAGTGCAAGTTGAATAAATTAAATAAAGATTTAATGTTCGTGTTTATTGTAATGGCCAAATAATTTATTTTCAGTTTTGTATTTTACATTTTGCAAATCATCCAATCAAATTTCAACACTATTACAGTCAAACTTTGTTATAACGAATTTCAAACTAGTACACATTTAGAAAGTATCTTAAAGAAATATCCAATCAAATACAATATTTCTGAAGATACTTTCTAAATTTGTACTAGTTTAAAATTCTTTGACGCACATTTGCCCATCTCTAATTAAGAAAGATCAACATTCTCCATTATCGAGCTCCGTCGAGGTGTTAGAACAGTTTCTCCGGATAATCGTCGTAGAGCTGCTATTTTTTGAAATTCGTCTCTTGGATCATTTTTGATATCGCAGTCATAGTTAGCTAATGAACGTGAAACAAACAAAGTTATTCTGGTCCTTTGCCCAGATAAATTTCCGATTATATCCTTCTAAGAAATAGCTTGCTCTTGCATCGCTTCTTCCATTATAAATTCTGATGGTAAGTAGTAGGAGGTATTAATGCGGAACTCTACTGGAAATGTAGCTTCTTATCCATATGTTAGATAGAATGGCTCACGCACGTCTTGTATTTTTTTCCATATAATTGGGAATAAACATTAAGAGATCAAATTTACACGTATCAGTCAGTTTATACTGCAAATTTTAGAGAACAAAGTTGAGATATCTTTTATTTATATACAAACACTCTAAAAAAATCCATATTGTTTTATAGAAAATAAAATAAAATGTATATAAATATACTTATTTATTTTTTTGTAATAATAATTCTTATACTACAAAAATCAAAAGTCATTATTGTCGTATTTAGTATATCTATATATTTACCATCATAAAAATTCAAAATAATAAATTGTTTTTGCGCGTCAAAAAAAATAAAAAAAAAAAAAATAAAATAAAGGGAGAGAAATATAAACTAATCTTAATAATTGAATTATGAATCAAAGGATGGAAATTTAGACCAAGGAAAGAGAAGATGGCAATTTGAACTTTACGGAAAGGTTTTTTATTTTTGCAATAGATCAAACAAATAATATGATGATGTTATGGTGTTGTATGAGGATGAAGGTATGGTAAGTAATAGTAATTAATACTAACACAATACTTTTCTAAAGAAAATAAAACTAAAGATAAACTAAAAAAAAAAAAAAAAAATAAAAATAAATCTATATCTATATTTGTTTTGTATATATATATTTTTTTTGTGTATTTTTTTGCATGTTTTTATTTAAAAGCCTAATCAATAATGCTGTATAATATAATAATAATAATTGTTATTGATATTTCTTCCTATTAAAGTCTTTTCATGCTTCTTTTTTTATCAGCTTGCTTCTTATCTAATTTCTTATCACTAGAGGCAACACGTTTCTTTGGTGTTACACTTGTGTGATTTAAATTATCGGATGAGATGGAAGCCGTAGGATTCTTTTTTATGTTTGGATGAGATTTTTTTGATTCGTTGATTGATTGAGACGGAGCAAGTGGCGTTGTGATCATCATCGGATTATTGTTGTTATTGTTATTGGTATTATTGTTAGTATTTGGTGCAGACGTTTTAGTTTGTGCAATATTCGTAGAAGTAGTTGGTATGGTAGTAGATGGTGGTAATGGCGGTGACGACGACGACGATGATGATGATGGCGAGATGAATTTCTTTGAAGATGAAGAAGAACAATTTGGTGTGTGTATTGTTGATGTAGGTGATGATGATGTGGTGGAAGTTATCATAGTACTGCTGATAGTTGTGGCGGTGATGGCGTTATTATTATTGTTGTTGTTGTTATTATTATTATTATTGTTACTACTACTACTAGTATTGTTTGATGCAGTATTATTACTATTATTACTGTCGTTATTATGACTATTGCTGTTATGATTATTATTTGTAAAAAATTCCGATATTTTGTTTTGTGCATGAATTTTTGTCATCATGTTAGCATGTTTAGCATATTCTTCGTATTCTTCTAAAAGTAATTTGCCAGCTTCTTCGTTAAGCGCAGATTCCGGATTAGGAAAAATCAAGAGACATTTTACAGTCTTCAAATATGTACGTATGCGCGTAAGAAGCGTGTGGAATAATGAATGTTAATACATTTATATACGTTATATGTATCTAATAATAATTATTTATTACCAGTAAAATCCTCTCAATCCCAAAATCTTTGTTCCAATCTTTTTTTAGTGTATTTACACAAACTTCACCAGATTTTGAAACATTTGGATGAAAGATTTTGGTTATGAAATGGCCTGTTGTTGATTTGATGTTCATAGCGATAATAATAATAATAATAATGGTTAGTAAATCATTATTTTTGTATTTATTGATTGATTAATTAATTGATTGATTGGTTACATTTTGGAGGTACTGATGGAAAATCGGTGCCTAATACCACTTTAATCTTAAACATTCCTTCTTCGTAAGGTGTTCCCTCTACATATTTTCAAAAGAAAATAGAAAAGATCAATATCATTCATTACCATCATTTTACAAAGAGAAAAAAAAGGTCATTTGAAGCTATCTGTAGTTAAACTAGTCGGTTAACTAACCAGGCCCTAATATCCAAGCTTGAATATCACAAACATCCAGCTCATTAATGATAACTCTAATTCCTTCTGGAGGCTGTGCGACAAGAACGTTCAACTCCTTGGATATTCTTTTGATGATAACTGGTGAAATGTTTTCAATAGCTGACTATAATAAAGGAGAGATGCATAGAGAAATACACGTGCATATATACATTGACAAATACGATATGATATGTTTTAAATAATCAGAATATATTTAAAAGAAACAAAGAGCCAAAACAAAACGTGTTACCATTTTAAAAAATACCAAAGAAATTAGTTAATATTTCCAAAAATTTTTTCAAAAAAAGAATAAATAGATATATGGAAATGTAAATTACCATGTTTCTAAGCGACTATTTATTTAAATTTACAATAAATATTTCTATTTTGATTTTTTTTGGTTTTTTTGTTTTGAATGTAAAAATAATTTTAAAACAAAAATTTTTATATAAATATTCACGTTGTTACACCAAATTTGCCAAATTACATTATTAAACCAATGGTTAAAAAAAGAAATTTCGACCAAATTTTTTTTGACAAAACAGGATCACCAAAATTGACTATTTTTTTTCTTCTTCAAAAAATGATTGTTGAAAAATGCACATAATAATCATACCCAAAAATTTAAAATTCGATAAACAAAGTAAATAATAATATTAATATCTTGTTGGCCATCCATTATTATCAATGACTGCTTCAACTCTCCTTGGCATGCTCTCAATCAATTTAATTAGGACATCATTTGTAATTTTACTCCATTCTTCTTGTAATGCAGACTCCAACTCATTAATACTTGTCATATTTTTTGGGCGTTTTCTAATTCTTCTCTCCAGCTCTGACCATAAATGCTCAATTGGATTCAAGTCAGGGGACTGACTTGGCCAATTAGACAAAACATTAACTCCGTTCATTGAATACCAATTTTTTACAACCCTTGCAGTATGAACCGGAGCGTTATCATCTTGATATAAATACCCCCTCCTATTAAAATCATTCTCAATCAGAGGTAGCAAATGATCTTCTAGTATTTTTATATACCCTAAGCTATTTAAATTGCCATCTACTTTCACCAATGGACCTAGACCTTTTCCCGAAAAACAACCCCACATCATCAAACCACCACCCCCGAATTTTACAGTAGGAGTCATGTTTTCAATATTAAATCTGGTACCAGGGGGTCTCCAAACAAGTCCTGGTCCATATCGTAAATCTACTTTCATCACTCCAAACAACCGACTTCCATTTCCTAACTGTCAAATTTCTTCTTTCAATACACAATTTAATCGATTTATTCTTTGTTTATTGTTTAGTAGTGGCTTTGCCGCAGGAACGCGAGAAAAAACATTTAATTCGTGTAAAGTCCTTCTAATTGTCCTAGTTGAAACGTTGATACTTGTTTTTTTCATTAAATTTGTTTTTAATTTGTTCAGCAGATTTTCGATTGTTTTGCTTTACAAGTTTTTTCAGTATTTTTTTATTTTCATCATTGATTAATTTAGGACGGCCACTTCGGTTTTTTTGTAACGAGATCTTTTCTATCAATGTAATTTTGAATAGTACGAGTCACTGTTTTCCTATGAACACCAACAATTTTAGTTATTTTGTGGTTTGGTACATTATTTTTATATAGACCGATGATTTCACCATGTTGACTTTCACTTAAGGGTTACATTTTGAGTTTAAAATTTTTCAAAAGAATTGTTCAAAAATTTATTAAAAATGATGTTTGTTTACAAAAAAATTCAAATCAACATAGATACTTATTCAAGACGTTTGTTATCACATGCCAAAAATTCGAGCTTGGTTATTAAATACGATTTTGTTCAATTAAATTTTTTTTTGTCAGAAAAATTTTCGGAAAAATTTTTTGGTCGGATTTTTTATTTTTTTAACTGTTATTTTCTTAGGCACAATAGAAGTTTTAAATTTTACATGCAAAATTTTGAGAACCTAGGCTACAAAATGATAAAAGTTATTTGTGTTTTTATTGTGTGCGTTTTTCCGCAATTTTTGTTTAAAAATGCGCCCGACTTTTGTCTAGTGAGTGTAGGTTCACCAAATTATACATCTTTAATGTTTTTATTAAACCAATGATTAAAAAAAGAAAATTTCGACCAAAATTTTTTTGACAAAACAGGATC